TGGGAAGGTAGAATTTTAGGTGGTATCCAAAGTCAACACAAGCTAGATAGGCTCTCTCTACCTTCTAACTCTGAGACTGCAGTACTGGGGTGGTGGTCTTAAAATCTATGACAGCACCTGCTCCCATATTGTAGGCTGGGGCAGGGGCTTTATTTATCAGCTCTGCCTCTGTCTACTTTCATCTTGGATGAAAAAAGTCATCTGCAGAAAGTAATTTTCTCAAATAAACACAGGAGGAAATAATCCCAGCATTATGGTAGCTATAATCAGAAAGGAAAGACATTTGACCTCACATACAACCTAAGCTCTAACATGAATGCAAAAAATGTCCTCATCTTGGTCCTGAAAATTCCCCTTTTGCACAACCACACACTCAAACTCACCACATGTGCACACCTTCACTATCTAATATTATTCAGTTATACATCATCTATGTTTTTTTCTGAGATTTCATGACTGCAAACTGTTAAAAGATTCCATAATAATAAGGTTGCCTAATTATTGTAATAGTGTAATAGGGAGATTAGGAAGAACTATAATGTGCTGGTGAGATTGGTGAGATATAATGTTCTCCCATAATAGTCAATAAATATCAGAGCTGCTAGAAGAGAAAATATCATCATTGACACACCACTCACAGGTTACATCATTTATTCTTCACTCTAGGAAAGTTTGCTTTAGGATTATACAGTTTAAGTAGTGGAATGACCCTTGCATTTATGGCAGTCAATATCAGTAATTATTATCCTGATATCAGCGTCTAGTCTTGCCTCTACAGAAATCAGATGGTGAGTGTGTGGTGTTGAAGGGATGATTCATTCAATAAATCTGCTTAGTTGAAGAGAACATAGGAAACTGTGGTTTCAGAGACTTCCCAAAACTCATATGAAAACCCTTTTCTGCAGAGCCAGTCGCTACGCACGATGTGTGTCTGCTTGCTCTTAGTGTTGACATAAATGATTTGCACTTTTATGGTTCTTTTTTTCTTCAAAGGATTGTTGCATTGTTTATGTCTATGGTTATTCTTAACTTCATTTGCATATACTTATAAAAAATGCTATTGTTTTCCTCTTTGCTGGAAAATGATTTCAAATCCACCCACTCCTTCACTTAAGTTTTGGACAAGAGACATGGAAATATCCTTTTCGGAACCATGTATAAAGTACATTTATACTATTTGAGTTCTATGGAGGAAATGTAGCTATGTCTCTTTCTAGAGCAAGAAAGAATAACTAGGAAAAAAAGGGTAAGTGTGACAAAATGTATATTAACTTATCATGAGCGATAAATGTTGCAAATATTAAAGAGTGCAGGATGAATATGTTGCTTGCCAGGTCACATTTAAACAGTTAATTCATACCTAGAGGATTATCCAAGCTATCACTGACCTTGGCAATGAGACAAGAGCAACATTTTTGTAAAAGGATAAAATGTTCTTGAAAAATATCCCAGAGGAATCAGATGTGACCTCCCTGCTTTCATCACTATCTACATTTCTTTGCCTATTTCTTTCCTGGCCAACAAATAGGAAGTCTTTAAGAATAAAGGTAGGAAAAAATGTCATTGCTAACTCTAATTCCATGTATTGAATTATTGTTTGCACTTAATAGAGTCACCATGGAAATAATTTTCTGAGAATGGGCATAGACTTTATTTCTCTTGATGTCGAATAGCAAAAGACCATAAATTAACAACAGAAAAAGCCACAAAATCCTGATCTGAATCCAGAGATCAGGTCCTGGGAGCAATTTTTTTGTTGTTTGTGTTTCTTTGTCTATTTTAATGTCATGAATCCCACAGAGCAAGGTTTTGTTTGTTTATTTTACTTCTTTCATAAGAGAGAAAGAGAAAAAAAAAATAGCATCCTAAACAGGGTCTCATCAGCCTGTCATCTCCTTCCCCCAGCACTCCAGATTTTGAAGATCTTGAATATTCATGTCTAGTTTCAGGGCAACTCAGGATCTGAACATGCAGTTGACCATGTGGCTTTGAGAACTGCAGAGCAATATGTTACCACTTGTACCACAGGGCTGGGCCAGAATATTCTTCTTAAAAAAAAAAATCCATGAAATGAAAGAAAAAAAATAATTGGGTTGTCAGAAAAGTCACCATGTATTTTTGTGTAGAAAAATATAAAAACATGTCATGACTTTTCTTCTTTTGAAATTATTGTTAAAGAATCATTTTATTCAACTATTTATTTATTTATTTATTTTAATTTGACCAGAAAGGGACAAAGTGAGAGAGAAAAGATAGATAGATAGAGAGAGAGAGGGGGTGGGGGGAGTGAGAAAGCAAGCTGCCAGGTCCAGGACTTGAACCACAGTTGGCCATGTGGGAGTCCACTTAACCACCATGTCACCTGCTGGCCCTATGTCATGACTTTTCTGATGACCCAATAAATGAATCAATTGATGAACAAATGGATAAAAAATAATATATAAAAAATAAATAAAATAAACTTAGTGCATGAGATAGAACTTTTTCTTCCTTTTAGGTTATATCCTAAATCTGGAGACAGAGAGTTGAAAAGTAATACCTTAAATGAAATCGTAGCAGTATTAGATGTTAGAGTATTCTAAAATTGTTTCCTATAAGAGTAAAAACAGGCATTGCATGGTTCCCACAGAGTCTTTTGTTTGTTTAATTGACAATTTATTTGTGAAGTTCAGAAGATCATATTACCCTTATCTGTGTGTTGGCTGCTCTCTATCCTTGTTAAAGTTGCCAACTTTCACTTGAAAAGATTATTTTTCATGCTATGCTTGGGTAAGAAATTTTCATAGTTAATCACAAAGCACATTGGAGACTGCTTTGCTATATTGAGACCCTCTCAGTTATTCTAGATAAATAGTTACAAAAAGATGCTTATTGAATTAAATAAAACCACCATGTGATCCTAAGAGAAAAAGACTCTTTACAGGCATCCCTAAACCTCTGTATTATAAGACAGTATACCCTGCAGAGTGGGATGTCCTAGGTTTAAATTCTGCTTACATCTCATGGTCATGCTTACATCTCTTGGAAAAGTTACATAATCTCACTAACTTGGAGTTCTAGCATGTAAAATAATAATAAATATAATTCCTACCTCACAAAATTTCATGAATGCTAAATGGAACAGGAATACGACATCCTTTTCACAGTGTCTGGAAACTTGTAAATGCTTTTAAAATGTTGGCTGTCATTTTCATTATTGTTTAACTCAGAAATAGACATCATATCATTGTCCGAGGACAAGTCTAAAAGTCCAATTTGAAGATTGACTAAAGATTATTAATTTTACACAATTAGCCATGTCTCCTAATAGTAGCTCCTTTCTCTTTCCTTTCCTCATTTCTTCTCTCCTCCCTTCCTTCATCCTTCCTTCAACTGCCAAATTCCATTGTTGATTTATGACCTGCTTATTATGTCAATATGACACCTTAATCTCGTCTCATTCATTGGTTGCACAGAACTGGGTTATTTCTTCTAGTTTCTATTGACAGAGAATTTTGGTTGGTCAGGCATCTAGGGCTTCAGAAAATTAACTTTCCTCTCCGAATCTGAAATGAGGTATCATTGTTCCTAATATGGCTACCCCATGTGTAGTACATTATCCTATAATATGCTGGAAATACTTAGGTCTGAGTATAAAAAGCCATGCACCAACAGCTTTGTCTAGGCATGTGAAATTAATTTTTAAATATGTTAAACCAGGCTGGTTTTAATGATACTCCCCAGAGACAAATTAAGTTGAGAAAAAGTGAACATTTTATTTTGCTTAGCAATGGCAATCACATTTTTATTTATCAGAATAAAAAGTAATTATATGTTTTACACAATTGGGAGGGTTTCTGAATCAGCCCATGCCACGGTTGTTAAGGTGGCTAGAAGGCACAAGGTTGATTGCCCAGTCCTAGATTTGGCAGCTTGAGAAACACGCCAGTCATGTGTAAATATGTCCCAAAATCTGGAAGGAGGTAGAAATGGAGAAGGGATTGTGGTATGACCATTCTCCATGAGGGGCCTTTCTCATCCCCTCCCCACACAAGCATGCTCTGGCAGGGAAGAAAAAAAATAAGGAAGTCCAGCTACAAACACATCTGAGAAAGGGGCCTTTCTCATCCCCACCCCACACAAGCATGCTCTGGCGGGGAAGAAAAAAACTAAGGAAGTCCAGCTACAAACACATCTGAGAATTAAAATGAGCCATGACCTACCAACCTTGAGTCTAATTGAAGAGATGTCATTGAAGGAAGAGGGAAGCTAGTATAGTATTTACCCTAACTAAAAGGCAGTGATATCCCCTGAGAGATGCAAGCTAGTAGTTGTGTCCCAATGAGAAAGAGAAATGACATTTTGTGAGAAGGAGAGGACCAGGACCTAAGGCCACAGATGTAAGGCATGGTACTCTTTATTTTATTTTTTTCAAGGACAAGGAATCATTATTGTGATCCTCCTGCTTCATCCACCCAAGTCCCTGGGATTGGGGTGCATGCCAGCATGCCTGGCCTTTAGGTTGACTCAGTTGAACCCAGATCCCATGTGTTCCCATCTGTGAAGCGCAATGGCTTAGCAGCATGGTACTATTGCAGCTGAGCCCTCAGGGAGGAAATAAAAGTGATGCTTTACTCATTCTTTTACCTTGCTCTGGCCCCCCACAGCACTAATGACAGGCTAGATAGTAAAATATCCACAGTTCCAGGTAGAGTGAGTTGGTAGTGGTACCTACAGCACCAAAATGATCTGTGCTAAGGCTGACATCAAATAACAAGCAGGCTAGCGGCCAGCAGTTAACGTAATGGCTATGTCGCTGAACTCCCATGTAGTCGGCCGTGGTTTGAGTCTCCGACCAGGTGGCTTAAACTCACACTGGGAACGTGTACGTGAGTGCCCAAGATCCCAGGAGGAGAATGGAGGAGACGGGATTGCAGCGTGGCCATTCCCCCTGGGGGGGTGATTTCTCGCTTTCTGTCTCTCTCTCTCTGTCTTTCTGGTGAGCTCACACGCCCTATAGCAAAAACCTCTCCAAAAAGAAGAAAAAAAACAAGCAGGCTAGCCAGCCTTCAGTATTAGGCTGACATTAAATAACAAGCAGGCTAGCCAGCCCCCAGTATTCTCCAACCAACGCTTATATTCTGGGCTAGACAACAGAAACTGATGAGAATGAACGAGAATGAATGTCTCTTGGAAAATAAAAGTGGCTGGAGCAGAGGAAATGATAGAGTTCCTGTGGAGGATAACATTACCTATGATGGGGAAAATGGAAAAAGATGAAGCTTGGATTTCAAGGCGAAAGCTCTCTGCCCTGAGACGAACCTTAAATCCCAACTCCTAAACTCGTGAAGGTGGTAACAAACTTGTGGTGAGGTATTTCCTCCCCCAGCAGGACTACAGACAGGAAAGGAATGACAAATTGAGCCTCTTGGAGAAGAAGAATTCAAAGTCCTGAAAAACAAGAAATTTAAATAAGAATAATTAATATTCTTAAATATCTGAGAGAAGATACTGGAAACATTGGACAATGTGTAGGATAAAAAAAATCAGTGGAAGCTTCTTGGTATTAAAATGTAACTGCTGAAATATTGGGTTTTGGGACAAGTGATGATGCATTTTTGCATAGAAAAACATAATAAAAATATGTCATGATTTTGCTGACAACCCAATAAAATCAAATGCCTGCACTGAACACAGCAAATATACATATTAAAAACCAGTTAGTAGGCTGGAAGATTTAAACAAGGATCCCATCCAACGAATACAGGCTGAGAGAGAAAAAGATGAGATGTAAAATACATGACTAAAATGATGGCACATTTATCATTTATTTATTTATTTTTTAGAGAGATTTTTGCTATAAGGGAATGCATTATCCAGAGAGACAGAAAGCGAGACATCACTCCTCCCAGGGGTGATGGCCATGCCATAATCACTTTTCCTCCAGCCACCTCTTGGGATTGCTGGGTACACATGCACACGCACACAGTGTGAGTTTTAAGTCACCAAGTCCAGGACTCAAACCGTGGTTGACTACGTGGGAGTCCAGCAATGTAACCATTCCACCATCTGCTAGTCTCAATAGCACATTTCTAAAAGTAACCCGAGACAAGAACAAAAATAAATTGACGTAAATATTGGAACAAAATGATCAAGAATTTCTAATGAAAGAAAAGATGCAAGACTTCAAAATAAAATAGCTCATTGAATGCTATTTAAAAAAATCTGATCAAAATTTGAGAAGTATTTGCTGACCTTCTCTCAAGAAATAAGAATAATCTCTTTGACATTGGGCCTTTACAGGATTTCTTGAGAATAAGCAGTGATAATGTTTTCTAAGCATTCAAAAAAAAAAATTGAAAACAGAATTTTAAATCTGTCAAAAGCGGAATTTAAATGTTAAGGTTGAAACAAAAATATTTCAGACATAAATTACTGAAACACTCTAGCATAAGAAAACCGCCTTTAATATTAATCTTCAATGATCATACACCAACAGTAAAAGAAATGGACCTAGAAAAGAGCAACAAGATAAAAGAATTATGAATGAATAAGAAAGTAAACTTTATTGTTCTCTATATAATAATGATACCTTCCCTCCATAGCAAATCCGTGAAAATCCCAGAATAAAATGCAACAAGGCAATGTGGTTGCAAGAAAAGAGTATTAGGAGAGCACACTGAGTTACTCGCTTTACCAGATTTTACTCGTATTACCAGATCTAAAAGGAAAAGCTACACTAGTCTCAATAAGGGTAACCAGGAGAACAAAGATGGAAATACTAACTTTTGAAGCAGCCACAACAAAAGAATTGACGTAGCCATAAAACGGTAGGGGAAGAAAAAAAAATAGATAGATAGATAGATAGATTAATAAAAAACACAAAGCAAAATGGCAGAACAAAGTCTGAATAAAAATGATAGTTTCAACAAAAGTATAAAGTAACTGACAAAAAACATAGACTCTCGGGACCAGCAGTTAGCATAATGGCTATGTCGCTGGACTCCCATGTAGTCGATCGCGGTTCGCGTCCTGGACCCGGTTGTTTAAACTCACGCTGAGTGCGTGTGTGCACGTGCCCAAGATCCCGAGAGGAGAATGGAGGAGAAGGGATTGCGGCATGGCCATCCCCCCTGGGGGGTGATTTCTCGCTTTCTATCTCTCTATCTCTCTCTCTGTCTGGCGAGCGCACGCGCCCTATAGCAAAAACCTCTCAAAAAAAAAAGAAATAACCACCCTGTAGGGCCAGCCCCATCATTTCATGGTTAAGGGAACTCAATCCACATAAATGACTTATAAAAGATATATTATAAATAAAAAAATACACAAAGTAAAAAAGAAAAGATTAAATAAACATATGCCAAGCAAATCCAAAATTGTCATCTTTAAAATAGTAACAATATTGGGACTAGCAGTTGGTATGGTGGTTGGGGTGCTGGATTCCCACATGGCTGACTGTGGTTTAAATCCTGGACCTGGTGGCTTCCTTTCTCATCCCACCCCTGTGTCTCTCTGGTCAAATTAAATAGTAATAATAAATAAAATAATTATTTAAAAATAATATTAATATTAAAAATCAACAGTTCACATTCAAATAATTTAAGAGGAAGATCATATTCTGGTAAAAAAAAACTCTTAAACCAAATCAGGACCAGCAGAAAATGGTGTAATGGCTATGTTGCTGAACTCTCATGTAGTTGATCACAGTTCGAGTCCTGGACCAGGTGGCTTAAACTCATGCTAGGCGCGTGTGCATGCGTGGCCAAATCTCAAGATGAGAATGGAGGAAAAGGGATTGTGGTGTGGCCATCCTCCAGGGGGTGATTTCTCGCTTTCTGTCTCTCTGTCTTTCTGGTGAGCACACTCGTCCTATAGCAAAAACCTCTTCTCCATACCCCAAAAATAGATACAGCTAAAATATGTATATACACTACACATGCACCAATCTTAAATTAAAATATATAAAGATATAGCTGCAAAAGTTCATGAATAAAAATTTAAAAATGACATCATAGGATTCAAATATTTTCCCAACATTTATAGATTAAGTACGAAAAATAGGCAAAGCTATAGAAGATCTGAACAATATAATAAGTAAGTCTGAACTGATATTTATACATATAGCTTTACATTTAACAAGGGCATGCTATCCATTCTTCTGAGCCATAAGCATATTTATCTAGGTCACAAAGGAAGTCTTATAAATTCCAAAGAATCAACATCATACAGACTATGATGCAAACCATAATGCCACAAAATTAGAAATCAATAAGAAAAGAATAGCTAAAATAATCCCATATGTCTGTAAAGTAAAAAGCAGACTACTAAATTATCCTTGGGTTAAAAAGGCAGTTGCAATGTAAATTATAACAAACATAAAGCTTAATGACAATGAGACCGCCACGAATTAAAATTTATGTGAAAAAGGTAAAGTAATATTCAGAGGAAAATTTAGAGGTTTGAATATGTATGTGTGTGTGTGCATGTGTGTACATATCAGAAAGTAAAATGATTGTAAACAAATAAACTAAGAAGTTAGACAATGAATAACAGCATAAGCAAAAATAGAAACCAAAGAACAACAAAAACATAATAAAATAGAATAAAAATAAATGATTAAACTGAGGTTTAGCTTTATGAAAAAATAGATGAACACAAATAAGACAGATTAACACATATTGTAAAATTTAAAAGTACGTAGATTAGAAGCCAGAATATAACTAGAAATAAAACAAGTATTAAAGTAGTACTATGCATAAGCATACTCCTAACTAAGATAAATCATGTGAACTTGCTAAAATTTTAATATAAATTGATAAAGCAGGCTACTCAAAATATAAAATGTTAGCAGGCAATAACCACTATGAAATCAGAAATGGTAATTATTATCTGAAAAGTCATGATGTATTTTTTCTGTTTTTCTACACAAAAAGATGCATCATGACTTTCCTGAAGACCCAATAATATTTTCCCTAAAATAGTCACATAATCAACAAAGTTCACCAGAAAGTTTTTCAAGATACAGAGTTGGAGTCAGCCTGAGTGTACAATATTAGCGGGAAGGTGTGGAAGACAAATTGTTCTTCACTATTATCTGTTTTCCCTCCCTAGGAGAGAAACAAAAGTTCATAGAGTCTGAGGAAGCCAGGTAAGAAACAAAAAGCAGTCTGTATAGTTGGTTTCAGAGCTGAGCATATCACAATATAATTTTGTTGAGAAGCAGCTATTGCCTCCAGCACATTGGACATTTGACCCTACCACCGCTGACTTCTTGTTCTTTCTATTGCCACTAGGCTGTGAGACCTTTACTGATGACTTCCATATTTTCTCAAAATCTGTAGGTTGTTTCCTCATTCATTCAGGAATAAATGACAGTTGGCTAACATCCTCTTTGGCGGTCAGAAGAGAGGAAGGGGGTAGGATGTGCCTTCCTTCTCTTATCTCTATAGAGTAGAAGATAAAAACCGCTTTTCGTCAAGTCTCATGAGAAAGTACAGGTGTAGGAGACAGAAAATGGTAATGTCTAACTCCTGTTTCTTCTTGACAGCTCATTATTTACAAAAATAACTTACCCCATATTTATACTTCATAAACATGGTTTCTGACTATAATACAAGTATGTCTTGCACTAAAACCAAAACCACATTTATGTCTTTTCACAAAGTTATGAGTTACTGCCTTTGGCTCAGATTCTAAACAACTGAGTAATGTCAATTCCTCCTCAAATTCTATTGCTTTCTTGTTTGATAGTTTGCCAGTTAAAGACTAAATTGTATTCCCTATATAATACTGAGAGGATTTAGAAGAAATAAAATGGAAAATGACTAAAATATACAAATAAAAATATGTCATAGCAAGAAAAATAAGACTCTATTCACACAATTGAACTCCCCTTTTTTCTTAATTTGGTGGAAGGTGAACATGCTCCCCTGAGACAGAAAGAAAGAAAGCACCCACCATGGGGCACGGTCACATCATAATCCTTAATCCTCTATCTCTTCCCTCCTTTTGGGATTTTGGGCTCTTACATGTGCCCACTATGGTTTTGCAAGATGCAGAGTCCAGGACTCCAACTTTGGGGTTCTAGCCTCCTTAACACCAAGTCATGAACTGGTTCAATGGGAACCAATTTTTTAACAATCCTTCCTTATTAATTCAAATTTCTTTTTGCTTATGTCTGCAACCTTGACTTATTAGGTGTTCTTTGACTGTAGGGTCACCTAAAAACTCTCTCCTGACAGACATAAGATCTCATTGGTCCTGTCTCTGTAGAGTCACACTAGACATCTGTTAACCTTTATTATTGAATTTGACAACAGGAGGAAGAAATTTAGATGACCTGGATTCCTTCCTTTACAAAATACATTGTAGCAACCTTATTTCCCCTTGACTATAAGTTTTAATCATTTCAATTGACTTTGTAAATAAATTTCGAGGTAATAAATAATATC